TTGTCAACAAAGAGCAATCTCTCTTTGCCACGCCTGGATCCATTTGATTTCTATTTGCGGCTTCAAAACAGAGGATCTGAAAATGACAAAATTTGCATTTTTGACACGTATTGATATGAACACATCAATGTATGGACCGATTTGGAATTGGACTACCAAGCGAGGCGTCCGATTCAGTTGTTTTTCGTTCGATATCCCTATGTCGTATCAAAGAGCATATAGTTCAGATGCTTCTAGTAAAGTTTTATATTCAGCCTATTGTAACCGGCCCGGTGAGAAGTTTGTCAGAAGAAAATGCGGAGAAAGAGGAGAATTTCGCAGGCGCTCATATTTTCACCCACCCTGTGAAATATACGTTTACATCCAGAGACAAAATGATCCTATTTCAGAAGATTTTTTCCTCTTCTTGGTGCGAGCCGCTCAGTAGAGACATCGCTTCGACAGCCATTGTATGCTATTTGCACCTGCACCTCCCCCTCAATAGAAAAACTCTTTTGTCGTGACTTACGTACGACTCCTTTTAAAGGGTCGCGTTTATGGTTGGGCGCGGCGGTCCTGGCGTGCTTGGCGGAACGGTCGAATGTTCGCGAAGCCGCTAGGGATGGGTCGACTCTGGCCTGTCTGTCACTTCTACGTCCTGCAGCCGTGCCGACTGGTCGCTCCACTTCGCTCTCCGTTCCAGCGTCAACGCTTGTCCTATCTCAGCTGGTCGCAGTCAATATCGTCAACGAGCCGTACCACGCAGAGGAGCCGCACTACTACTGGCCGTCTTTATCCCAGGTAACCACTAGGTGCTTAGGTGCATCCGAACCTTCCGGGCAGCCGGAGGGGGAGGATGTTCCCGATGCCCTGGTGGGCTGTTTCCTCGTGGCCCGTAGGCAGTGAGGCAGGGTTCGTCCGTTTAGTGTAGGGCCTTACCATTATTCTTGTAGTTGTTTATTTCCTTGTTGTTTTCTGTAGTTACATATTAGAGAGGTAAATCAATTTAATAGTTTGTGTATTGTTGTGTAGCAATAGTGGTTAAACCACAACATTCCTCGAACATTTATTTATCACGGTTTCTTCACAGTTCTTAGCATAGTTGTTAATATGCCTGTTGTTGGTCTTAGCTATATATTAGAGGCATCCTAGTCCGCGGCTAGGTGAGCAGATGTTCTTAGGTAGGGCGCGTAGGCAAGGCGTAGGTAAGAGGGTTAACATCAGGTGCATGGCCGTAGCGTACGCACAATGTAGGGGCAGTAAGGGCCTACCGGTTGCGGTTAGCAACATCAACCCCGCGTGGCAACACCGTGGCGGGCATAGGCAAGCGCCCGTAAGTCCCCTGCAAACCCTAGCGCCGAGGGCGAATCCTTTCCCCTCCAGACACCGATGCTAAGGTCAGAGGGGAATACGCCCTTGGTATGACGCCAGCAGTAGGGGGACCTGGGAAAGCCGCAGGCCGGCACGACACCTAATCCACGAAGAAGATTGACATTCGTCTTCGTGGGGGGACTTAGCCGCGTGCCAAAGGCAAGAGTGTTAGGTTGCGGCCAGGAGCATCCTGATTCAGAACTGCGAAACATCTGAATGTACGTAGAGCACCTATGTTGACGGAGTGTTCATGTCAGCGAAATGAACAATCAGAGAACACGTGAAAATGAGTGGATAGGACCACCTCAAAAGGACGGGCCACTGAAAATCGACACTTGAAGATTCTAGAACCTACATTACTACTCAACTAAGCGCGGCAATAGCACCGTTGAACCATTGACTGTGAATCTATTTCTGGATTCCACAGAGAGCGCTCTAAAATGCAGTGATAAAACTAGTTCCAACAATTCTAGAGTGCTGGGAAAAATTATCCACCAGTTCCTAAGGTACAGACGAACACCCTCTGACAATTCTATGCTTTGCTTTGTATTCGAGAAAAAACATCAGCCCCTTTTTGGCGACGGGAAAATCACGCAAGTGGAACCGGGTGCTGAGTAAAATAGAAACTGAGCGATCACAATGACACGAACTTTGATTCACAAGAACTTCGCCAAAATTGTTGACTACTTAGATGTAGAAACTATGTCGCGACAGCTGCTAAGAAAATGTCGCACATCCGAGGTTTAGGTAGCTTCTGGAGCAATCAAATAATTTGATATTAGGCGCATGAAGCCCCTGCTCTGCGAGAATGAGCCCTTTGTGAATCTCAGGAAGGTCAAAGGCGAGCACTGACATGTACCCACACCACTCCTTAGGCAGCGTTCAGACTTGTAGCGCTACAACTGTAGCGCTACGATCGTCGCGCTACGATCGTCGCGCTACAGCTGTATCCAGCTTATTTTTCATATTTTTTCCTTTCATTCAATCCTTTTTTGCCATATTTATCTGATGCTGAGCTCTTTTCTACTTTACCGCATTTTTTACCACATTTTAATATAGTTTTGATACAGAGCCACCTATGATAATTTCAGAAAGTAGGTCATTCATAGAATAATATCGTAGAATATCAAATAATGTTCACAATTAAACGACGTCAGGCTGGTCACGCCTGTGTGTTCGCTTGCAACCTGTCCGTGAATGCCAAAAACAATTTCGTCATCAGGGTCAACGTGAGGCACCACTGCAAAACCTCAAGCAAAGCCATCAAACATCAGAAGCAACTCTGAAACAAAAATAAGAATAATAATAATATAAAAACAGAAGAGAAAATAATTAAAGTACAAAACGGATAATAACAGCGCAATTATCACAGTGCTCTTGCTATCAAAAAACTATATTAAATGTCGGGTAAAAATGAGGAGCTCGAGCATCAGAACTAAATATGGGCAAAAAAGGATTGAATGAACAGGGCAAAAAATATGAAAGAATTAGTGAGATTACAGCTGTAGCGCAAACGAGCGTAGCGCGAACGATTGGGTAGCTAGCCCGCTACAACCTGTAGCCGCGACGAGTTGTAGCGCGACGCATCGTAGCGCGACGATTGTTAGCGCGACTGATTCGTAGGCGCGGACGGATCGTAGCGCTTACAGGTTTGCTAGCGCTACAAGTTGGAAACGCTGGCCTTAATCATGGGATTTCGTCTAGTCGGGCAGCAACATCGCCTGGTGGCGTTTGTTCGCCAGGTCATAAGCGACGACGAGCTCTTGGTCGAGCACTGTTCGATTACAGCAGCGTTTCCTAATTTGTTGGTCAAGAGAGTACCGCGATTGAAGTTGCATCGCGCGAGAAAGCCTGTTGCAATTCGGAGGCGTCTTGGCGCGTCCTAGTATGCAGTCGCACAGGTGTTACAATTTGGTCCCTCGGAAGGGCGAGATGAAGACCAGCACCACGGCGTTTAATTCGTTGGGGATCTCTGTCCAGCTGCAATCTGTTCTCTTCGTCACACGCTAGAAACTGGTTCTGCTGGCTTCTTGAAAGTCGTCCTACGCTGTGTCTTCCTTAGAGCTTCTTCAGGGTTTCTCTCCTCTGCGGAAAATGAATTAGTGCCCACTAATACATGAATGGCTCTTGAAGCACACGAATTTCGTCGGAGCGATTCTATTAGACTAGTTGTGAACTTCGCAAAAGATGCCAAGTGCATGACTTCTTCATCATGTCGCAATGTAAGCCACTGAAACACTGAATGAAATTCATGCGATTTGTCCTCTGAATCGAAAGGCACAGAAAAGGGAGACAACGTCATGAAAGGGAATTGTCGAAGTGAAAAACTCTCATTCGAACAGTTACGAAACCAGATATTTGCACGTAGCTAAGCCAGATATAATTCGCTCAAACGAAAATTTTTCATCAGCCAAATTTATACCATGCGGATATAAATAAAAGCTACCAAAGACTGGCCACTCTTCACCGCACGAGCTTTCCACCATGAAACCTCTGCCTTTCATGCTTTTCGCCGTAGGAGTCACTCTATCAAGAGTCGTCTCCTCATCAATGCCGGTAGGTGCAAAGCGGAATATTTCCACAAACAGCATTAGATGACCTTTTTCAAATTATAGCAAGCTAAACCAGTGCCAAAACCCGAAGATGCTAGAAAGGGATACTGGATAATACAATTCACTTGGATACAAATATTAAATTTGAAGACTGCATCCAAGATTACTCGGAATGCATGCGCTTCTTCGACGACACAAAGGTCGATTACGGAGGGTTTATTTTTCCTCATAGCTGAAGCACTATTATTCATCAACCGATTTCAGATTATGGAAGTATTCGGAATCACTCGGAGACCTTTCTGCTCCGATGCTAGACATGAATATAGAGAGTGGTCGAATGGTTTATTCTTTCGCGATAGAAAACGCTGACTGTGGAGCGGTACTGCTTGTTCTCTTGAAAATTACTTCTGAGTGCCCAACCTCAGAGAAAGGTACTGTGACTAATGCAAGATCTCGATTACTCTTTGAGGTGAAACACTGGACGGATCAAATCGTCCACAAGTTCGCCACTATTCACGTCTGCCAATGTGACATGCCCGGAGTCGCCAACATCAATGGAACTACCGGTACGTGTAAAGCGCATAGGAAGGAAATGAATGAGGAATGTCAACAAATTTAGCTAGCCTTGGACGCTCACAAAAGCGCAGTAACGTATTGGTAAGCTCTGGGCGAGGTTCTCATTCAACCTCAAGAGCTTTGGAGGCTGGATAAGTTCTCTAACAGTTAAAGATAAATTTTTTTAGGTACCGAAGGTTCAACCCGTGCCGAAACCCGAAGACGCCAGAAGGGGAAGTCTAATACTACAATTAACGTTGGATACAAACATTAAACTTGAAGACTGCTTCCAAAATTACTCGGAATGCATGCGCTTCTTCGACGACACAAAGGTCGATTACGGAGGGGTTATTTTTCTCACAGCTAAAGCACTATTATTCCTACCGTTTTCAGATTATGGAATATTCAGAATCACTCGGAGACCTTTCTGCTCCGATGTTAGACATGAATATAGAGAGTGGTCTAATGGTTTATTCTTTCGCGATCGAAAACGCGGACTGTGGAGCGGTACTGCCTGTGCACTCTTTCAGACATTCCTTCCCAGAACGACAAGCAGCACGAGAATGCTGCTGTGTGATGTGATATCACGATTATTCTTTGAGGTGAAACACTGGACGGATCAGATCGTCCACAGTTCGCCTGTCTTCATATCAGCCAATGTGAAATGCCCGGAATCACCAACACTAATGGCGTAACCGGTGAGTGTGAAGCGGAAATAAAAAGAAATGTAGATGCTATAACCGTCAACGGATTTAGCTAGCATTCAACGCCTAACACACTGGCGTGGGGCCTTCATGACTTGCAGGTGGGATGGCACATTTGTCTTCGCTGAAAATTAGAATTTTTCAAATAAATAAATGAATCTGATCAAATTGCATCGAGAAGTGCAAAAGACGACGATACGTATCTTGATTCTTCAATACAATCCGCCTTATACCCGGTCTTCTAGGACTATGCCAGGTTTTACAGACTGGCGCAAGAGTCGCCTCTAGTGATAGCTGGATCCTCCGGATATGGATCTCACATTGCTTGACACGAAGCTCTTAGCGCCCTTGCCATAGATGCTGGCCCTAGAGCATAGATACAATGCCTGTTCACAAGCGCGAAACTCATTTTCGACTATGGCGAACACTATCGCCGTTTCGGTGCAAAGGTTTTTTTTGCACCGAAATCGATGTCAACCCCGCTCAAGAGCTCTTGAGCGCCATGCTAGCGGCAGGTGGCCTCGGCGCCATAATAGGTGTCAGAATACGATACCACCCACCAACACCCCTATGAACAGAACTTCAGCAAAAAATTTTTCTTGCTGTATGTTAGGTCAATGACCGCCTGCTTAACAGTGACAATACAACTATCCTATCTCCGTAACAGTGTATTATGAGCGAGAACAACCAACTCGACATTCGCCTTCTCAAAGCCAGCAGGTCTCTTTGAAAAAACGGTTTATTGGCCCCAATGCAGTGAAAGAGCGTCCTAGACCTCTCTCTATCTCGACTCCCATCGTTCAGGCTTTTATCAGAGAACTGACGACCCCCCCACTGTATCTTTTGCCGTCGAAACAGAACTTGTTTTTCTTCAACATTTTATAATGCAGCATATCTGTTTTTCCTTTCCAGCTTTCGCTGGGCGTTATCTTCTTGTATGCTTGTAAAGGATAAGTTCAGATGATGAAATTGGATAGCGACTTGTCGGAGGTACTGTTAGCCAATGGTTGAACATGGGCCAAACTTCATGACGCACAAGCTCGAAAAAAATTTCCGCTGAAACCCTGCATGTAGGTGTGACTGATGTTACTGATCACGATCCTGACACTTATAGCTGCGCCAAGGCAATTTGGCGAAAACACGCGCCATGTACCCTTTTGTGGTCTGGAAGGGATGCTGCGGAGATTGCAGCGAAACTTCGAGGCTACCTTATTACATGAAAAGTAAGGTATTCTTTCAACAAATTCAGCGTTTTCTCGATGCTTGGTAGATGACGCTACCATGAACGGTCCGCCCTGTCTTCGCGTCATTAGCATAATTACCTGTTGGTTAACGCGTTTCATAGGGTAGCAAGCAAAAAACAAAATGGGGATTCTTCCAGGACGCAAGACAAAGCTCTCTGTCGCTTTCATCAGTGCCCATGAATCTGAGTGTACTGTTAGCTCACGTTCTCGAGCCAGCATATATGGAGGCGGAGGTGGTGTAGTGACAAGTGGCGCGCTTACCACTCGCGCGGCGCCGGGTTCAAATCCCGGGTCGACTCCCGCCCAGGCCAACCAAGCCTTCTACCCTCCGGGGACGGTAAATTGGTACCAGATTCGTCTGGGAGGATAAAACACTGACTTGTACATCGGCTGGCCACCGCAAGTCATTGTATAGGCCACATCGCATTCAATAAGCCACTACGATTCTGAATGGAAGTAGAATGCGTGCCGCATCCCACAAAGGGATTGATTAACGGCGAAGACTTTATCCTTATCCTTACCAGTAGTTATCTCTCCCACGGCTGATGTCCACATCTCCCCCTCTATATCACCTGCTGGAACCAACGCCTCACTGACGCTGTGACCTGCGATGTGAACACAGTGACCACAACTTTCTAATGGCCTGTTATCGAATCTTATCAGGTGCTGACACTTCTTGTCACCCACCAATGATAATCATGTCCCATACCCTATATCATCTCTTGGAATGAATACCTAGCTGATGCTTTCATCAGCGTTATGAATATGGTGGCGATCCCCTTCTAACGCCTCTTATCGAATCTTATCAGTAGATATCACTTCCTATCACCCACCAATAATCTTCCCCTTCCATACCCTATATCATATCTGAGAATCAACAGCCAACTAATGCTGTCACCCGTGTTATGAATATGGTGACCGTCCCCTTCTGACGCCCCTTATCAGATCTTATCTTAACTTCCTATCACCCACCAGTAATGTTCTCCTCCCATGCCCTGCATCATATCTTGGAACCAAAGTCTACTGCTACTGAGACGTTATGAATTTCGTGACACACAGACGCACAGACATACACACACCTCTACGGTTTATTATCCTACTATACCGGGTGAGGGCAAAAAAAGTCACTTTTCTTCATTGACTTTCGAGGCGCTATAAGTTACACTTTATTGAATTCTGATCGGACATTTTTACCACCATATTAAAGAGCATATAAATACTATCATGACACTCCGCCACAGCCTTCTGGACGAGCGCCATCGAGAGATTCTGGCACGCGACCGCGATGTGGTGCCTGAGATCAGCGAGATAGTCGATTTCTCCGCCACCGTAGACCACCCTATTGAACTCCGCCCGAACCGGGTAATTGAGGGGATTCAGGTCAGGTGACCTACTTGGATATTCCACCTTCTTTAGGTACTCAGCCCCCTTCCATTCCAAGTAGGCGAGAGTTTCTCCAATGCCCTTCGATTTCATGTGGTGGCACTCAATGCTGTAGCAGTACAAAGTTTCCAAGAAGGTACGGGCGACCACATGTGAGGAGGATATTCTTCACGAGTTGCTCAATGTAGCGCTCACCTTCAGTCCGGGGTCCACGAAGAAAATATTGGTCTTTCCATTCCAGGTACGTCCGGTCCATACCATCAACCCGCGCCTTGGCGACTGCGGTGAAGATGATGTCCTAGACCGTAGCGAGCTCGATGTTGGAGGTCTTCCAGATCGAGAGTACTGGTCTCCAGGTAGCTATCCATGGGTGACTCCATACTAGAAGTTTCGCAGCTGTTTGGAGGTGACATGAATTCCAAAGGTCTTCTCCAGTCAGGCTGCGACTGGAGATGACTTCATATTTTGGTGTACATGAAGGTGATGGGCGAGAGCCAGCTCCTGCTTATCGAGGAACATCTTGGGTATCTTCCGCCCTGGTACTCGTATCCACGTCCTCTGTCTGGGCAGCGAAAACTTTGCTGATATGTGACTCGGTCGAAGTGACTTTTTTGGCCCCCCTGTATATATATATATATATATATATATATATATATATATATATATATATATATATATATATATATATATATATATATATATATATATATATATATATATATATATATATATATATATATATATATATATATATATATATATATATATATATATATATATATATATATATATATATATATATATATATATATATATATATATATATATATATATATATATATATATATATATATATATATATATATATATATATATATATATATATATATATATATATATATATATATATATATATATATATATATATATATATATATATATATATATATATATATATATATATATATATATATATATATACTGGGAAATAACAACACTTAAAGGCACATTCCGCGATAAAATAAGGCTATGACCTCTCAAATGTGTCGGACGATCCGGAAGGCGATTTTTGAGGCTGCGCTACTTTCAAAATGTGAAAAACGGCAAGAACTCCGCTAGAAGCTGACTAATTAGGCCCATGGACACCCCTTAGGCCCATGCCGACCCTCACCGGCTGCTAGCTACTAGCTAGTAGCCACTATGTTATCTTTCTCTATAACATTTCGGACTGCTTTTTCTGCTGCTTTTCTCCGCTAATCAGATACTTAGCACTTTTTTGTGCCTATTTGAGTTCCGTTTCCCGCAATTTGCGGTCGCGAACTGTGCCTTTAAGATGTCATAATATTTTGCGGCAAAGCTCCGTCTGCAGGGATGTCCGGGATGTTGATCAAGGATATGACATTATAGGGGGGGGGTCAGCACCAAGAGTCGTGTTCGTACTCTGGACCCAAAAGGACTCAAGCGTAAGTTTCCTGTGAATTGTTCCTGAGAAGTGGTGATGGCAATTGGAGTTGGCGCCATTCCGGTGTTCGGCGTTGAGAGCGGATGTCGCATTAGTGATAAGGGCGCTAAGGAAGGAAGTCGTTGAGTTGTTGTTTAGTTTTGTGTGGCTGCACGACAGCTATCGGGAGCGCGCAGCATTACTGTTCTTCTCACAACCATCAACCCATAGATAGGCCTCTCCTACATAAAATCTAAAAACGCAGCAAATTATGCAAGCTCTTTCATCCAGTGCGGAACACTTCCATCACGCAGCCTCTTCAATGCAAATATAATGGTGCTGCCGTCAAGTCGGTGTTGTACGCACCCGCAACGGATTTACTGTTCATTGCACGCCCTCCTGGGTCACGGTATCTTGCGCAACTTTGAAGTTAGATTCATGCATTCGAGAGGTCAAGTATTGTTCTGTTACAGCGTGCGCTACAGCGTAGCGCTACAGCGTAGCGCTACAGCGCCGCTTCGCAACGTACTGCTATTTCCAACGTTAGGATGATTAGAGTACAGAATACAGAAAGAATGAATACAGAATCCAATGCCGCTTATGGATTATGGAGCGAAATCTGCTTTTCGAATTTGCCCCCAATCTCTGCCTGGATCACAGGAAAAAGATTTATGCCGGTTTTCGAGGCATTCACAGCCAACAAAGCTTTGACAGTTTCTTGTACTTTTTTGGCCTAGGAGCGTAAAAATGGCCTTATCTCCCACAACAGGCACGCGAACACTGTCTGGTCACCAATGCGTTAACACAAGGCAAACAAGAAGTTCCTTTATGGTTCTTGTGTCTCCGGTAAAAAAACATGCGTGCGTGTTTTTAGGTGGCGCGAGTACTCTTTGGGTGTTTTTTGCAGAAAATGCTCTTAATAGGACAGAAGGACACTGTTACGCTAAAAGCAGTACCAGAAAAATAGTGACTAATGGAGTAACTGTCAAGGATGGTCAGATAGTTACAGCTGTATCAGTCTCACCTTTCCGTGAATTTCTCAAGAAAACTCCAGCAACCTTCCCACTTTTCTCTGTAAGCAACTCTAATCATCCTAACGTTGGAAATAGCAGTACGTTGCGAAGCGGCGCTGTAGCGCGACGCTGTAGCGCTACAAGTCTGAACGCTGCCTTATTCTTGCTCCCAATCATTGAAGCTGGCGCATTCGCATTCGCCTGCCCGGCGGCAAACTGTCCAGCGCCTACGGTGCGGGCGCCAAGGCAGTTTCATGCTGAGCGAAGAATGATGTTTGGTAGACACAACTTCCACCAGAGGCAAACCTCATGCCAAATCTACCTTCACAGAAGTAGTTCAGTAAACCTGACCTTAAACTGGGACAGTAGGCGATTTGTGTCAAAGAACCAAGGCTCGTCTCCTCGTCCTGTGCATTTGATCGACACATTTTATCAGAACCATCAGTTTATTTGAAAATCACAAGTTCTTAGAGAAGGAAAGCGTGCCGTCCCATTTGCAAGACATGAAGAAAATGGATCGTCGATAAGGTGTTAAGCGTTGAGTGCCAGCTGAATTCGTGGACGGTCATGACTCATTCATTTTTCGATTTTTCGCTCAATTTCTATGCGTTTTACACTTACCGTTTTACCAACCCATTGGTGTTGGGCAGTTCACATTGGAAGATACGAAGTCTGGCGAACTTGTGGACGATTTGATCCATCCAGTGTTTCACCTTGAAGAGTAACCGTTATTTACCACGAAAAAGAGCAGCATTCTATTGCTGGTTGTCATTCTCGGAGTGATTCCTCAGAGAAGTGTAAGTATTACCGCTCCGCAGTCGGCTCTCTCAATCGCGAAAGACAAAACCAAGAGGACCGTTCTCAATATTCATGTCTAACATCGGAGCAGAAAGTTCACCGAGAGCTTTTGAATATTCCATAATCTAAAGATAGTTGGGAAATAATAGTGCATCAGTTATGAGAAAATAAGCTCTTTCTAATTGACCTTTGTCTCGTCGAAGAAGCGCATGCACCCAAAGTAATCTTGCATGCAGTCTTCAAATTTCACGTTTGTATCCAAGGTAAATTGTATTACTGAGTATCCCCTTTTCGCATCTTCGGGCTCTGGCACTGGTTGAGCTTGCGGTACCTCAAAAAGAATTATTCTCAGCTGTTCAGAGGATATCCCTAGCTGTTTGGAGACGGCTTTTTGGATTAAAATGAGAACCTACTCAGAGCTTACCAACAGTGATATTGCACTAATGTAAAGCGTTGAATGCTAGCTAAATTCATTGATGATCATAACCTCTACATTCCTCATCCGTGCGCTTTACACTTACCGGTAGTCCCATTGGTGTTGGGCATGTCACATCGGCAGAAATGAATACTGGCGAATTGCGGACGATTTGATCCGTCCAGCGTTTCACCTTAAAGAGTAATCGAGATCTTGCATCAGCCACAGCAGCTTTCTCTTGCTGCTTAGGTTTTAAATGTAATTTTCAAAAAAGAGAGCAAGCAGTACCACATCACAGTCAGCTCTCTCAATTGCGAAAGAATAAAGCATCAAACCATTGCCCATATCCATATCTAACATCGGAGCAGAAAGGTCTCCGATAGCTTTGGAATATTCCATTATCTGGAATCAGTTCAGGTGTAATAGTTTACAGCTACGAGGAACCGAGTGCCTCCGAATTGACCTTTGTGTCGTCGAAAAAGCGCATGCACTCCGAGTAATCTTGTATGCAGTCTTCAAATTTAATATTTGTACCCAGCTTAAACTGTATTACGGAGTGTCCCTGTTTAGCATCTTCGGGTCTCGGCACTGGTTGAACTTGCTATAATTTGAAAAGAAATCATCTCATGATGGTAGAAGAGATGCCCTATGTCCCACCTACCGGCATTAATGAGGAGTCGACTCTTGACAGAGTGACTCCCATTGCGATGAGGACGAAAGGCAGACTTCTCATAATAGAAAGCTTGTGTGATGTGAATGACCAATCTCTGACAGCTTTTATTTATATACGCATGGTGTAACGTTTACTGATCAAAAATCTTCGTTTTGGCCAATAATAGGCGGCCCAGCTAGATGCAATTTTCGGATTTCGTTACTGTTTGAATGAGAGTTTTTCACTTTGAACAGTTCTCTTTTATGACGTTGAGAACCTTCCGTGTGCCTTTCTCTTCAAAAGGCAAGTCACGGAACTTTTGGCTTCAGCGACTTTCATTGTGACAGTGTTGAGTTGAGCTCTTTCATGCAAACCTGCATCATTGCGAAGCTCACAACTTGATCAGTAGAACTTTTCCGAAAGGAGTTCGTCTGCTCAACACCAGTCATGAGCTAGGTGCTATTTTTTTTCCGCAGACTAGAAACAGAACCACTGAAGGCGCTCTAAGGAACATTCTAGCACCGAAGGACTTTCAAAAAAGCGTGACAGCGCTGCATGGCCTGGAGTTCAGGTTGGATCCGAGAACAGACGCAGGCTGAAAAGTGCGTTATTCACCCTTTACTGATCGAATCATCAGGGTACTAGCTAGGTTTCGACCAATTTTTTTTCTTCGTGAGTAGACCTGGCTCACAGCTCACATGTTGCCTCCTGCGATAGCCTGACCTCCTGATACGAATAACTGCTGGC